ATGGTTTATATTGATTTACAATCTAATCTCTCATTATATTTAATTTTGCATCATCTATTACAGAGAGTTGTATTTCTTTCTAGCATCAAGAATTGGGACATCTACGATTCACATTATTTCAAAAAATAATTCCATATATAATTAGGCATAATTTAAGATCTAAAAATATAAATTCTATAGAATTATATCATGCATATGTATAAAGCAAGATGATTGTTTGACCTTCAATTTGAAAACTTCCACAAGAATTACCACTAATACTTGAAAGATTGCATGGTAATATTTATGGTCCTATTAATTCAATATCTTGACCATTTCATTATTTTAAAACTTTTATTGATACATCAAAAAAATAATCACATATTTCATTATTATCAATTTAAAATATAATATTTGTAAATCTTTTATCTATACTTATTTATTTCTAGGTATATTTTTTTAATTATCCTATCAAAACATTGTATATAGATTAAAGTCTTTTGAAGCCTATTGTACTACAACACGGATTGAATTCACATATTGTGTTCTATATGAACATGCTCAAAATGGACTTGCAGAGTCATTTATAAAGTGTATACAATTCATTATCCACCCACTCCTTCTTCAAGCAAATTTATCTACATCTATGTGGGTCATGCAATTTTACATGCTACAACATTAGTATATCTTTGTCCTTCTCTTCTTGAAATTATTATACCACAAGAACTCAATTCAAGTCATATTTCAAATGTATGTCATTTATGGATATTTGGTTATAGTGCTTGGATTCTAGTATTAGAATCTCAACAGCATATCATTGGAGTTCATCAACAAGAAGACATATATGTTGGTTTTGATTCACTAAGCATTATTTGTATTATTAATCCATCAACTACCATATTATTATGTGCATGTTTTAAAATTATTATTTTAAAGAGTATATATTTCCATTACTTTGAGGAAGAATATCTAATCAACAAAGAAATATAATACATGTAATCAAAGCATTGAAAATATTTATAATGAGTCTTAATCCTAAAATATCATTAGCTAAAATTGTGGTTGCCAAGATTTTGTATCTAAAACAAATTGCAAATGAAATATTTGGTAACTTCAATGATGCACCTTGAATTACAAGAGTTCAAAATGCACTTGCTCAGATTGCAATATTATTAATTAATATACCTCAGATTATAACATCAAAAATTAAAAAGACTCGTAGATCAGATAAATAACTATATAAACAGAAGACAATAATATGTGCTGATTCTAGTATTGTTTTTACTAAAGTTCCTACTAAACCTACAGAACTATCAATTAATGATGATATATCCATGCAAATTATATCTTCACCTCATATATAAAAAAATCTTGAAATTAGAGAAGAATAAAATCAAATTAAATAGAAAGTTATCTATTCTATATTGTATTCTAAACAACATTTGGAATAGACTATCTATTACAATAGATGAATCATTTGCATGCATGTTTGTACAAGTTCTTTCTTATAAGAAAAAGGATCTTAAATCTCAAACCATTGAAGAAGCAATGTATAGCTCTAATTGGTTAAAATAAAATAAAATAAAATAAAACTACAATCAAAGAAGAGTATGTTTCTTTGCGTTTAATTATAGATACTCTTACATCTTGCCTCATAGAAAATAAGATAGTATTAATACTCAAGTAAGATGCTAAGGGTTAAACCACTTGATATAAAGCTTGTCTTGTTGCCTAAGAATTTACTCAATGATTTGGCATTGATTATGAATCTACATATTTTTTAATCATGAATTCAATTACATTTCAATATATTATTAGAATGGCAATTTATGCCAACCTTGAGATGCGTCTCATAGATGTGATAATTGCATATTTGTATGGTTCTCTTGATGTAGATATTTCTTTAAAAGTTCTATCTAATTTGGAAGTAAGAATTCTAAATGTACCTTTTCTAAGACAATATCATAGTATTAAATTACAAAAGACCATGCATAGTCTAAAACAATCTAAACGCATGTGATATCAATGTCTTTGAAATTATTTAATTACAAATAAGTTTATAAGTGATCCACTAATTCCTTGTATATTTATCAAACAAGATAAAATTAGTTTTGTGATTATTGTTGTATATGTTGATGATCTTAATATAGTAGTTATTAGATTTTCATGTATTGCAACTACTAACCTATTTATTCATGAGTTTGAGATGAAAATGCTAGAAAAAAAACTTTTTATATTATTCTTCAAATTATGCATCTCACAGATGGTAGCATTTTTCTCTACCAATTAATATGTATTGGAAAAATTTTGCAGAGATTCAATATGATTGATACTTATTAATTGTCAATACCAATGCTTGAATGTGGTTGTGATGGTGATGATCCATACTATTTGTACAATGGAGAAGATGAAATCTTGGAAGATCAATATTCATATCTTATAGTGGTTGGAGCACTTTTACATTTAGCTACATCTACAAGACTAAATATTGCATTTGCATTAAGTGTTCTTACAAGACACAATGCATATCCAATACTAAAATATTGAAATGGCATCAAATATTTATTAAATTATTTTAAAGGCATTGAAGACTTGGGATTATATTACATACAATTTGTAAATCCAAAATTAGCTGGATATTATGATGCAAGATATAAATTTCATATTGCAATAGCTAAATCTCAAACATGCAATGTATTCTTAAGACATGAAGTTGCAATATCATAGAAATCAGTGAAACAAACTATAATTGTAACCATGCAAAAATTATTGCCTTACATGAAGTATCTCCGGAATGTATTTGATTGCAATCAATTGATAAACTCATTCAAACAATCCGTGGACTTTCATATAATAGTTCTCCAAATATCTTGTATGAAGACAATAATGCTTATGTTGCACAAATGCAAGTTGGTTTTATTAAAGGCTTTCTTAGATAAGGTTTTTTCAAATAAGGTTTTAATGAAGTAGCAATTGTTGATCTTTTGAGATTACAAAAAAATATAGATCATAATTCTATACAAATTTTATATTATATAAATATTATGACAAACAAAGAGAAGTGTTGAGAGCATTAAATATAGATAGTATTCTTTATAATATTTATTATAGTTTATAGTAAATACTACAGCTACAATTTTTGAAATGTAGTAGAAAGAAACTATTTATCTTCTCCCCTTTTCTTTGTATACAAGAGACAACCACATCCATATACTTTGGTTTTGTTGTATGTACGTGTGTGTGTTTGTATGTATGTGCATATTACTTCGAACTATTCTTGTGTCTCTCTAACCATTCTCAATAGAAACAAGAAGCTATTCAAGATTATGTATCCAATTGGTATCTAATGATAGGTGGATTTAAAATCCAAATTATTGCATGTATCAATTTTTTTAATAATAATTTGTGGATTAATTGCATAAAATGATTTTATTTTTGACATTTTTAAATTTTTAAATCCTTAATTTTAAATTCTTACTCCAATTAGTTTAAAATAGATTAAAAAATTAGTTGGATATTATTAGTCTATCTACTAAATATATTGTAACTACATAATAATCACTCTTATTTACATACATTTTTTAAGTAGATTAAAGATGTATTAAGCTTATAAAATGTATGGATAAAAAAAAAAAATTAAAAAAAAATTAAAAATCAAAAAATTAATCAAAATAAACTATTGCACATTCTGCAATTTTTTTATTTTTATTTTTTTGTTGTTGTTGTTGTTGTTGTCATATACAAGATTACTTCATGCACATGATATTTTTATTTTCAACAAGAATTCTAGCAACTCAAAAAAAAAATTAGGTGGTAATAGAATTTTTTATTAAATATATTATAAAATATACATTATATAAAACTAAATTAGAATTTGTTTAAAATGTCTTCAAAAATTTTATATTGCAATAATATATAATATAATAATCCAAAAAAAATTGAACATAATTATGTAGATAATTTTTAAAACTAAATAATAAGTGTTATTTCATTATAAATAAATAAATTTAAATTAATGGATTTTAGTTTTATGAAAAAAAATAAAAATAAAATAATAGTTCTAAAATTATAGTAATACACAAAAAATCCATATTTTTGAGTATATATATATTATAGATCTAAAGTGATTCAATAAAATTCTATAGTATTTTTTTTACCAAAAATAATTACATTATTTAATCGATTTTATATAAGAGTATAGAAATGAGGTATTTTAAAGCAATGTATACCTTATGTATATTAAAATTTATTCCTAAGAAAAAATAGAATTATATAAAACTAAGATGGCATGTTAGATAAATAACTAGTTTATTATTTATTTAATATTGTATAATTTTATTTAATCTTATCATGACTATTTTCAAAAAAAATTAGAAGCATAAGCTCTAATTAAAATAGCATAACAAATAGTTGCAATTGTAGTATTACTAAATAAATGTAAAATCAAATTCATATTAAATATTTTAAATTGGAAAAAGATCTAAGTTACTAACTTGTTTTGTAGACTAGTCTTGTAGCATTATAAGACATTTGTGTAGCATTAAAAAAAAATGACATATATATATATATATATAACTTCAAAATAAGTAAATAAAATAAAGAAATTAAAGAAAAATAAGATTTTTTGTTTGCATATCCATATAATATAATTCAAAGAAGTTTCTGAGTTGTATTTTTTGTAATTTATTTTCAAGTAATACATATATATACACACACACACACATATATATATATATATATATATATAGAAGATGATAAGATATATATTTTAATAATTTTAATTTTTCATGCATTTTTCAGGTTAAATGTTTTCTTTTATACAAATGTTATATAAATATTAAAATACTTAATTTTATTTACGATAATAAAATAGATGAAAAGCATAATAAAAAACATATTGAAACATCATTAGTTTTGCGATACATGTTGAGGTTTGTGCGCTACGTAGTGACGATGGTCTGCTGGGGGACTTTCGCCGAAGCACGGTGGCACCTTCCACTCACAACTCTTGCTCCTTATCACAGTCACAATTCCTCACCCACACTCAGTCTCTCTCTCTCTCTCGCACCCACTCGCTCTCGCCCTGCTCACGCCCTCGATCATGACTCTCGACACCCTTGCACTGAGCGAGGGGGATACAATGGAACTGGAAACGGAGGGCATGGGGTTTGTCTACAGGTGGGTTATTGCCTCGCTCCCTCTACATCACTCTCTCTCTCTCACACACACACCTGGATTTTCGTCTCTCTGCTTTGTGTTGTTGGTCCTGTTAGGGTTTATTAGGGGCAGTTGGTTGACATTGATCTCGCTATCGCGACGTCGGGTTGGCACTGCACGGTGGGTGTGATTTTATGTTGAGGGTTTATCGTGTTCTGGTTTTGGTTTGCATATGGGTGATTACTGTTATCTTCGGATGTTTAGCACGGGCAATTCCCTGAATGAAATTGCTCCGCCTCCACCTTCCGGCAATGACAACAACCACAGCTCGAATCACCAGATTCTTTCTACTGGCTTTACTGATGGGATATGTCTCGTTCTGGGGCTCATTCTGGGGCTTTACTGCAGGTGGGTTGAGTTCTCCACCCTCTCTCTATATCTCCCTCACTTGTATTTCGTTCCTCACTTTTGTGTTCTTGTTTACATTAGTGTTTGCAAAGGGCAGTTGCTTGGCAGTGATCACGCCATGGCGAATTCTGTGGGGTCGTCTTGCACAATGATTGCGATCCGATGTAGTAGTACCTCTGCGTGTGTAACTCTGGACTTCTGGAGTGAAGTTCGGAATTTTAGACATTTGTATCTGTATTTCTCCTGTGAGGTTTCACTGTGATAGGATGCTTACTGAATGTACGGATTTTGAGTAGGGTTGCTGCTCTCGTTGGGTTTGTTTTGCTCAAATCTTCGGCCGCAAAAGAAAACGACTCAATTGCGACGCCCACAACGAAACTAAAAAAAACCACAGGCGATCTCGAAGCCGGTGAAGTATCTGTTCAGCCCTTTGAAGGTTCTCACGCAGAGGATGTAGTCATGGATGTGCGTGGTGGAATTGGGACTGAGGGAGAGTTGACTTCGCTTGAAAGCACCATTTCCCAGGTCACACCGTCTGGTGCTCAGGACGAAATCACCGGTTCAGAGATCGGAATGGTCCATGTTAATGAGGAGGCCTTGGCTGAAGGGGACAGGATTGTAGAGGTGCCCGTAGATGTAGTTGACGGGGCCTTGGTTGAAGTGAACGGGATTGCAGGTGGAGGTGGTGAAGCATTCGTTGCTTTCCCACTTGGGGTTGATGTGTTTGACATGAGGAACCTCTCTCAGGCACAATACCTCTCGTTCATGGGGTCTTTTCCGGCACTGGAGAATGGTTCACTTAATGACTGGTGATCATGACTATGCGGTGGCCGCTGCAGTAGTGACAGGAAAAATGTTCGATCAGGTGGTTTCATAGTTTGACACTGTGTCTGTAATTTATGGAATACACCTGGCTTAATAAACTATAAATGAACTGACCAGGAATACACCTGGATAAATAAACTAAAAATAAACTGATCAGGAATATATCTGGATATCACCCTGAGGCTTGTTGTAGATTACGAGTAGTTGGACTGTGGTGCTTGTGACTGGTTCGTCAGCAGGCTTGTGAATTTCCTTAAAAAATTCTGAAATTCTGAAATATATTTTATTATATTTTTTATAGATCACATTTAAACAAGAACATTGATCTTCTGCCCCACTTACTTTTGAAACTTAGTCATTTAACCAATGTTGCCTAAATTCATGCAATTATTTCAGTACTTGGTTTGAATGTGTCCAATAATACCAGTTTAAAGATTCACAAGAAAACATAAAAAATAATACAGACTTACAAGTTAGAAACCTACAAAAAAAAAAAAAAAAAAAAAAAAAAAATCTTTCACACTATCAAGTTAGAAACCTAGGACAAAAAAAAAACAAAACAAAACAAAACAAAGTTGGGGATCACTACTCGTTTGACTATCCATCTAACAACTATTTAAATTAATTTCTAATTGGTTTTGTTTTTCAGCCTTACTCTTACATCCTCACTGGCTCTTTTTGGTAGAAAAAGTATAATTAAAATACTATGTTTATAAATATATACACACATATATATATGTAGACTATTGGTTTCAAATGTTAAAATGTCAAGTTTTAATTTTAGTAGTAAACATTATTACACTTGTAAAAATACTTAAAAGCTCAATAATGGTCTTCATAAAAAGAAAATTAAAACCTTTAAGAACATCACAATAAAGATAGTATTATATTTATTACTTTTTATATTATTTAAAAATAATATGTAAATATATGCATATCTTGACTTTAATAAATACAAACTTTATTAAATATTTTATTTTTCTCAAAAGCTAACACTTAGCAATAAATAAAAATATTAAATCATATTTTTATTTTAACTTTTAAAATTACTCATTTAATAATCTTTAGATTAATTATCTTTATTGCAATTATAAAAAATTGATTATATGTTAATAATTAAGAGATTATATTTGGTTGTTTTACATTTTTATTATAACGATCTCTTTAATGCATTGGTATTCTTCTTTAGAATACATATATATACACACACACACACATATACATTTACAAACATCACTTCTTTTCATATATAAATAAAGTGATAATATTAAGGAAGAATTAACCAATATAATAAGTGATGGATTGTGGAATAATATATTGTTTACTAGACACTTACAGCCAAAGGGTTGGAATAAATCAACTTCACGATTATATATTGAGGGATGAGTTTTTAAATATATATTTAATTATTTCTAAGGATTTGGATATGAAGCATGTACTGATTTATTTATTTTTAACATTTTAATTTTTTTATTTAATTTAGGAGAAAAAGAAATCATATAAAATTAGGTAGCTAGTTGATACTTAGTTTTGGATGAATATAAAATCCAAATAATTCCCTATACTAATATAGTTTAATAATTTTTAATTTGTCTAGTTTCTATAAATATTTTAAATTTTTATTTTAAATTTGGGATTTTTGGAAGTCTAAATTTTAAATTTTAAATCTCTAATACAAAGATATTTGTATTTGTAAAAATTAGTTGTATTTCATTGAGCTACCTATTAAATCTATAACAATTATTTAGTATTTATTTTTATTTTTACACATAATTGAAAAGAAAAGAAAAGAAAACAATATATATATATATATATATATATATATATATATATATATTAAAGAAAAAAATGATACATAATTAGGATGTAACAACCTTATAAAATATTCAAAAGAAGTAGAATTGGAAAATAAAAAAGCTAATAAAAATAAATAATTGGATGAGCTAATAAAAAATGTAACTTTTTATTGAAAGATGAAAAAAATCAACTTAGTTTTAGGGAAAAATAAAAATTGGGATATATATATATATATATATATATATATATATATATATATTAAAAAAAGGCTCATTTTGTCTTATTTTATTTTATGTAAGAAGAAGTGGCTACTCATAAAAGTTGGAAAATATCCTCAATTCTTAAATTAGGACTTTTAAAATAAAAATATTTTTATAGACTTTAATTCATAAAATATACTATTTTACAGACTTTAATTCATAAAATATACTATTTTTACAGACTTTAATTCACAAAATATACTATTTTTAAAATATAATCTACATAGTCCTTTGATTCTTAAAGCATGCTTGATACTAACAATTGTTGCCTAAGTGAAGGAAAAGTGTCAAAATAAAGAATTTGATGTTAGAAAATCAATTTACCTATTTGCGCTTCAACAATTTTTAGTCAGTTTCAAAGTGGATACAACTAGACTTTAGAAGATCATATCTGCCTAATAAAATACATCTACCTATTGAATACGTAATTTTATCTATAAGAGGATGAAAAAGAGATTTTGATGAATTTTCATCTACAAGCAAATCATAGACTTGCTTGCCAAAGCATGGTTGCAACCCTACACATGTAATTACAATTTAAACCTATAACCACACAAATATAAATCCTAACTTACAATAGCCTTTCAAATAAATGCACTTCTATTTTCTTATACAATAGCTCTTACATTGATGAAGATCCTTAAGACAAACATGTTCTTTCTCAAAGTAATAGCAAGGTACAACATCTTTGATATTACAATCTAAGAAGAGACTTTCAATGCATATTGATATTATTGAAGGTGGATATTGTACTTGATAGAATTTAAAATGTATTATTTAAATGTAGCTAAAAATTCCTTAATAATAATCAAATAAATTGGTAGTCTTTTCATCCTAGAATGAGATATTATCAATAGTTACACAAATTTATCAACCACCTTTGTCAACTTATGAAGTAATGATACAATTCTTTATAGAACTTGTCCTCTAAAAGAAGAGGTAATATAACAAATAACCATATTTACTAATATATTTACTTAGATAAGTAAAATAAGATAAAATAAAGTAAAATTAGGTTAAATTATTAATATCTTGTTAAAAAATTTCTAAGAAGATTTGTATAGTTCACATATGTTTATAAGTAATTAGTAGGCTGACAACTTGGTCAAGAAGTTAGATAAATGTTGTACATTTATATAACAAGCTAGACATATGGAGCACATATTAAAAACTTATTTTATATGTAAGTATCTTTCAAGTTAGACATGTGTCGTATGTCCTGTAGAACATTTCCAAATATTTTGTTAGTAAATAGTATATATTGAAGCAAGATTGAGGCCTTCCTTATTCTTGTGAACACCTTTCTTGTATTCTACTTTAATTCAAGTCTTCCTAATTCTTTTGCAATTGGCAATAATCCTTCTAGTTTTAAATCTATATCTATATTTTTGTAATTTACTTTTTTTCTTTTGATGATACAAGATTTTATTTTCATCTTTAGGATTTTATTGTGATTTGCATCAACAAAGATAAAAAATTGACAAGACTCAAAGTACTAGCAATCAAGCTTCTACAATAGAATATGTCTAAATGCATACTACCTAAATGCATATCAATGTAGTTATTTCACCCTTGGGCATATACTTAGAGTGAATAAACCTCTATAAGAGATTATTGCATAGTAATGTGTAGATTTCATGTACAATATAAAGCATTCACATATGCAAATATCCTTAGAATTCAAATGGACATTACTATCTTTAATTCTTATATAGGTTTTAAAAAAATGAAAAATTGGCTTTTGTAACACTTCCTTTGTCTTGAGCATGCTTGCCTTACTCTTTATCTTTTAGATGATAGAAGTTCTTAGTTTTTATTAAAACCAAAAAGTCTTCAAGAAGTGGATTAACTTATGGACCTATGAAGTTGTCACCTTGATAGATTCTTGGCTATTGTCATTAGCTTCATTATCAACATTACATTTATTTATTTATTTGTTAAATCTTATAAATGAATTTTAGTAATATATAAACAATATTCCAAAGCTAGTAGATAAAAGAAGCAGTTATGAAATTTATTCATTTTAAAGGTGTAAGAATAATTTGAGTTTAATTATGAATTTATTGATTTAAAATATTATATTTTTATAAAATCAAAAACTATCTATCTTTAGAAGCTTTTTTTTTTGAAATTTATATATATATATAGTGACTCAAAAAATAATTTTAATATTGATATATTTTGAAAAGAATGATATATTATAGATGAATTGTAGTGAATAATGACATGTGGTTTTTATGACAACTAAAGTACTCTTTTACAGCTACCAAATGAGCATAGATTGAAAAGAATCCATTAGATAATTGCGGAGCTATGACCAATCTAATTTGGAGTAGTATTGAAACAATTTTTTGAGTGTGGCATCTAATTTTTGGATTTTATCAATTACTCAATGTTATATCATTCTATCATCATCAAATTTACTATGACAATATTATTACTAATCTAATGACATCATTAATGCTTACTATAAAAGCAGCATTCTTAATCACAATTCCTAGCATAGATATATTCCAAATTATCACATTCTAGGGCCTTCTAGAATCTTTTGTAAATTTCTAGAGCCTTTTAGATACTTGTAGAATCTTCCACAATCTTTTAGAAAGTTCTATAGGCTTCTAGAAGCCTCTTTAGACTTCTAAAAACTTCCATAGAAAGTACCATAGACTTCTATAACTTTCATTATAGTATAAATAGGAGTCCTTGGAATCACTTTTGCTATCAATCTCATTCTTTGTCTTTAATCTTGACATATTTTTTTATCAAATTCTTGTGTCTTTGACAATTCCTTGAACAACTATGAGACTCATTTTCTACTCTTTTCAAGACAATATCACCTTTGCTCTTCTTCATTCTCAAAAATCTTATGGCCAAATTACTTTTGAACTTGGCTGCAATAAAGCTACTATTTCTAGGCTAGCAAAAAATATTACTTTTAATAGGAAGAACCTTAAATTAAGTAGACCAAAGAAGCTCACTATAAAAAATGAAAGGGCAATCATTTTCCAAATCAACACCATGAAGGCTAAAAATGTTGTTGAAGTTGCTAAAAACCTTAATAAGATTATCAATAATGATGTTTCAATCCAAACCATTCAAAATGTTCTTATAAAATGGAATATGAAAGTTGTGGTGAAGAAGAAAAAGCTACTACTATCTACTTGCTATCAAAAACAATGCTTGGATTTTGCTCTGAAGTACAAGAAATGGACTATAGAGGATTAGAAGACGATTATTTGGTGAGATGAGATAAAAATCAATAGATTTGGGTCAGATGGTAGAAAGTGGGTATAAAAACAAATGGATATGTTCTTGCTTGACAAGAAGATCCAAAAAAACAATTAAGCATGGGGGTGAAAATATAATGGTATAGAATTATATGGGATGGAATGGGTTTGGAAGGATGGCAAAGGTTGAAGAGAGGATGGATGCAAATCAATTTGTGGAATTCTTGAAAAAAACTTGCTCCCTAGCATTGAAGAATTTGACATTTTTAAGGAGGAGGTGATTTTTCAGCAAGATAATGACTCCAAGCATAACTTAAAACTAGCATGGAAGTGGTTTGATCTTCATGACATAAAAGTAATGGATTGGCCTACTTAGTCTTCTAATCTTAATTCTATTGAACATCTTTGGAAGCACCTCAAATGTCAAATCAATACTTAGAAGATAAAACCAAAAGAAGTTTGGAAATTATGGAAAAGAATAGTCACAAAATAGAATAATATTGAAGCAATTTTGTACTAAAAGTTAATAGAAAGTATGCCTAAGAGGTTAGAGCAATTATCAAGGCTAAAAGAGGTCCTACAAAGTACTCATAGGTAATTGGATACCACACTTAAAAAAATGTTTTGATACTATTCCAAATTGGATGGGTCATAGTTCCACAATTACTTGATGGATTCTTTTCAACATGGGCTCATTTTGTAGGTGTAAAAGAATACTTTATTTGCTATACAAACCATGTTTCATTATTGACTACAACTCATCTATAATATGCCATTCTTTCTAAAATATGTCAACATTGAAATAGTTTTTTGAGTCACTATAAATTAAAAAACCATGTAGTATTTTTGATACAATTTGATTTTCTAAAATACCATAAAAAATGTGTTATTTAATCATAATAATAAAAATAATTTTAAAAAGTTTAATCTGCTATATTAAAAAATGATAAAATTTAAAAATTATTTTTATTATAATGATTAATTAACACATTTTTTAGGTATCTAGTATATTGATGATTTTAAGATAATATATTAATCAAGTGTATTTCTCTCATACATGGTAGTATTTTAATGAAGTTGGTTTAAAAGAAAAAATATTAGAATTTATTCTTAAACCATTTTTTATATGTATTATCTTTATTTTTAAAATATTGATTCAAAATCAATAAAATTATTTATACTTGAAATTTTCATCAAAATTTAAAAAAAAAAAAAAAAAAAAAAAAACTACATTGCATTAAATTGTATTATTTTTTACCTTCTAATATACTTGAAATATATATAATTCATGTTTTTAATTGTCTTGAAAATTCAATGCTTTTAGTAATTATGTATATATAAGATTAATCTTTTGTGTTTTAAAACTAGAAAAATATAAATTTAAACAACAATATTTTGACAATTAAAAGAAAATGAGATAATAGAAAATAACTTGTGGATGTTTAAAAAACTAATAAGGAATTGGATAGTCTTTTAAAAGGTTTTTTTGAATCTTTGTGATAGTTTGACAATGGGCTGAAACAACATTTGTAGCAAGATCTTCAAGATAATGTTGAAAAATTCACTACAATAGCAAAGAGTGGCAATACAAGATTGATTTAATTCAAATACAATAAATTCTACATATTATGAAGGCATAAAGATGCCAAGTCCTTCATTACTAATGATTGCATGTTAAATAGGCTTCAATAAAAGATTATTAAGACCAAGTTCAAGCAATAATCTCACCAATTGCTTGAGTAACTAATTGTTTCCTTAGATTGTGGCTCACATTGTGGTTGCAAATTTTTAATACTCTCTCATTTCTAATTCATTTGGATTTATTCTTTGTTCACTACTGAAATAAAAAAAAATCATAAAAAAAATATATTTTTATTTTTATTTTATAGACATTTTTATGTAAATATTTGTATATATATATATATATAACTGAAGAGTAATTAGAACACAACCAAAACTACAATACATTATATTTGGTAATCAATATTGTTCAATAGAATTGCACAGGTACAAGGACAAGGTGTATACAACTCTTATTTGTTTGTTTCATGTATAATTTGGTAAAACAATGAAGGAGTGAGATTTTCAACTAGCAATCTGAATTATTTTTAGTTTCCAAGCTAAGAGACTACAAGATTTTAGATAAAACAATAGATTGAGGCTCATGAAAAAATTTGACACTTCCATTCAATGTGGAACTACCTTAGGATGATCTATGTCCTTGACATAAAGAACAAAAAAAAAAAAGAAAAAAGAAAAAAGAAAAAAAGAACAAAAAAAAAGTGAGGAATTTAGTAAATAAGTCTAATTTTGTTAGAGTGGCAAATAGTTCATAGTATGTCCATCTTATACCTCTTTTTTGAGTATATTGTAATGAGTTTGATAAAGCCAAGATGTGATTGGACTTTCACTTCGACTTACGTGAACGTGAAAAATTGGAATAGCTAGCGCACAAAAATGAGAGAGTAGTAAAAATCTGCAACCACAGTGTGAGCCACAAAAAATACTTTGAAAGTAACATTGCTGCCCGGCGATTGAAGAATAGGGGACGAAATCACGATTTCTGATTGCTGTGTTTCTCGCATGTGATAGGCCTCTTCTCAAGCCACAGAAATAATAAAATAAAATAAAATAAAATAAAATAAAAATAAAAATAAATTGCAACAATAATAACTACACCATTGAAATAGATCACATATCACACATTGTACTTGCCAGATCGCATGTAAACGATACTTAAAGAGCACATAGTAAGAAGAAATCAAACCTTCAGCACGAAACCTATAAGGCAATGAAAAATCCTTACGTATACTTACATCACCAATAGAGAGGATAAATGATGACAAGATTAAATGTACAAAGAAGAGGGACTAACGGAGTGCTGCATGCCTATACCATATATAATAGCTACACCACTAATCTGTATCAGAATTGAAGGGCCTCAGATTTTCTAATAGGTCTCTTGTCCCACCATTTACTAGGTGATCGATGCCATTTGACGAACCTGCTTTCTCATCGTGTTTCTTGATTTTTGGTCTGTTACTCAGACCCCAAATCCGAATTGTATGGTCATCACTGGCAGATGCAAACATATGAGGATTCACAGGATTCCAGCTTACGCTGTTTACAGTGCCTGAATGACCTGACAACACATCAAGTAACTCACCATTCCATCTATGCCAGATATAAACCTGCACCACAATTACCCATCCATATTTTAGAACATTCCCCTAGTAATGGCAATACTGTCTAAGCAAAAGCATACTGTCTAAGTATGACTAGCAGTAACACTAACTCGAGTTGGTAGGCCTAGAGACTGGCAAGAATTCAAAAGTACATTCCGTAACAAAAAAAAAAACTGTAAGTCGTATGCCAGAAAACCTGCAAGTGCGATGAACGTACGCGAGAGAGCAAGCGGGTGTGTGGGAGAAAGAGAGAAAGAGACCTGAGAGTCTTCGCTACCACTGACAATAAATGCATAATCAGTCCCACCGAAGCAGGATCGAATCACATATCGCCCTTGCCTGTGACCTCTATACTTCTTAGGTAGGTCTCTCGTAGCTGCTGAAATGTCCCACAAATGAATCTCCTGACTCACCAAGTTAACCAACAAATATCTCCCATTTTTGCTCACTGAAAGTGAGGTAATTGGCTTCTCCTCCTCAATGACTCGCTCTGTTTTTTCCTCCAGGTTGTAGATGCGGATGTTCTTATGATCACAAATGCTTACCTGTCATGATCCATAAAGCATAGTTTTATCACTCAAAATGCACTTGTGACAGTCGGCTACGATAAAATCTGGGACGAACGGGCTGTAAGAAACATATTTAATGCACGTTGGAGACATACAAGCCTATCCCCACACAAAAATTTGCATTGTCACTGGATTAGGGGAAAATGTCTCGGTATGAAAGTGCTACATGAATAGTTTAACGTCTTTGTTCCTTCAGCTGCAATTTTCAGGTAACTTCTAAAACGGATTCATTAAGCGTCATCCTAATCTGGAAGAATTAAACACCGATATCTAAAGCATCAAACAGGACGAATATTTACCATATGACTTCCATCCGTTGTAATAGCCAAATCATTGATACGAGGCATCCGAGCACCCTTCCAAGCCTCCAACTCATGTCCCTGTAGGAAAGTGTAAAATTAACGACACTTGTATATGATGATCAGGATTAAATCAGGGGACTTCTGGCATGGTATGGACTATGGTTAAGCTGATCGACTGTCTTTTAGTAGTCTCTTCTTTAATGGTTAGGACTAACAGTTGAGCTTGTTTCTCGGTAACTACCAGTACAGTCCGTGCAGACAGTCAGACCTGTGCGTTATAGGCGTGAATTAAACGATAAGATCATCATATTTGAATTTTCTGACGAGGATGAGAAAAACCCATATATAAATAAAATAAAATAATGATGAACAGGAATTTAACTATAATAGAGTTCTTCCTACCTCTAGATCCCACATGTAGATACACTTGTCACCTCCACCAGATACGAAACGTTGTCCATCTGGGAACCACGCACAGGACGTAAAGCAGCTGTTTGGTTTATCATAAGTGTATTTGCAAAGTCCAGTGGCTGTGTCCCACAGCTTCACGACTTCCTCATTCCCACATGTCAATAGCATGGTGTCATCTGGACTCCAAGCAACAAAAGATACAGGCTTCGAGTGACCGGTCAATTTGAACTTTACCCTGAGTGAATCATCTTCGACAACCTGCGATCAATCAAATTGTACACAACATTATTTACTAAGATTCAAATACTGACAAGAGTAAGAAGAAAAATGAAGATACATCCTGATCTCAATAATCGAACAGAATGCAGATAAAATAATCAACAAACCTCCCAAATGATGGCCGTACAGTCTTTGGATGAAGATGCGAGGTAACGACCATCATGCGAAAATTGCAAAAACCAGACCTCATCATCGTGCATTTCTAAAACCTGCACACATGCAATTCACTATGAGGTAAGAAACAGGCAAAGTCTTTGTACTTGCAAAACATCCTGAACTAAAAACATCTCTTTACTCCAAACCTCACGTAGAAGAATTTCCACTTCGAATAGTGACGCCGAAATCTCCCCTACACGATGTCAGAAAATGATAAAAATGATAAATAAAACACATAATACATAGCTACCAATCCATGAGCATGAACAGAAATAAAAAGCGAAAAAAGACAGATATTCTATTGTACCTGCAAAGTCTGTGTCGGAATTTGGTCCCGACTACAGCGATGGTCTGCATAAAGGGACAAGACATCATCCAGTGTATTATGATAAACACATGCTTCGCGCTGCACTTTAAGTGCAACTTCGACAAGATGCTCCAATCGGTTCTCAGGCACCATGATTGAAGGTGGAAGCAACTGCTGCAATTCTTCTAACAAGAACTGACGCGATTCTTGTCCAACACCCTTCCACTGAGCTTTCGTAAGCAGGTCTTGCGGGGAACAAACTATGAAGCTAGCGAGCTGATGAACTTTGGGAGTACTTACTCCTAGTGGTGTAATTTCCGACCGCAAAATTTCGAGCGCTGCAGTTGTATTGCTAGACTGTAAGGACTCCAAAAACTTCTGTTGCAAAATCAGAAATGAAGCAGCCTTAAAAGTGGATTCCTCAAGGACGCCAATTCTAGACAATGTGGTTACACATTCATTCCAGCGCCCTGCCAGAATGTCCTCGCGAAACTGTTGAACCGCTGGCGACTGAAGACGAATACCTGACTCCTCTTCGAGCGCTGCACCTGCCTGTTGATAGCCAAGAGAAAAGAGCGCTTGCTCTATAATCCTCACAAACTCCACCTTCCGAATTTGACCATGAGACCCCACCGTTTCGCCATCATTAATAGGAATACTTCTGGCCATTAGGGCGGCGGACCCCGTGGCTACCACACCTGTCCGAGACCCCTCCAGGGGGGTTATATGACTAGGTTTAGAAAGCTTCTGTCGCTTCAAGGGGGGTTGCCCAACGTCGTTATCTCCTCCCATGTAAGGGCGTCAACCCGATGGCTAGCCCATGCATGAGAAAGAAAAACAAGGAGAAAAGAATTCAAGTCCCCAAACGAAATCTCCAGACACTGGGCTGTGATTAGTCGGCACAGCTCCGACACCCTGTCAAAACGCCAATTTCAAAGTTCTCAAATTGAGGACAATCAACCACACAAGTGAGAGGTGACAAAGATAGGTAATACAAACCCATGTAAAAGCATTTACCAGTTCATAGTTCTCAAACTCAAATTCGATACATGTGGCATCAGAGGCCAAGTCCAGAAAACTCAGAAGCCGACTTCAGGTTTGTCGCTCAAATACAGAAGTCGACAAGATGAACTGTGAGAAGAAATATGTGCCTTACACTACTATAATCACATATGAATGTGGTGAAAAGTATAACCCTCTCCGTAAGGTTCATGAAGCTTAACCGCGTTACTCCATCAAAAAACACTACATAAATTGAACAGATGCAGCATGAAATTCACCAACGAAAGAACACGGGACAAAGATTCGAAGAGTTTCATTACATGAGCAACAGCAGATAGACGATCAACAACGAATGAGAGATCAGCGTATGTGATTGCCACGGGAACAACAGTGCCTGGACCTTCAAGACGAAAATTGCAAGAGCCGGATACTAAAAGATTCAGATTCCACAGCACGAGCCCGAACTACACATTCAACCTATAACCCTAATATAAAACACATAAAATTCACAACACAATGATCAAACTCTTTGACTGTAAATGTTGGAGAATCTCACTCAAAACAGGGAGACTAGCAAACTGTAAACGGTACTTTGTTCTTATTCAACTAAAATACGCCTGTAATGCATCCCTAAGTTGTGCCCTAAATGAAGAGAGACGCCCGAACCCTAGTCCTCTTAAAGAAGAACGACCTCACAATTGAAATCCAAATGTGGCATGAGTCGCATGCCCTAAAACACATGAAGGTACAAAATCGCTCATGCTTCTCCACACGGCAACCTCAACGCCGTCCGAGAAACCCTTATTTCCGGCCACAAGCAAGCCTCCCCAGAAATCCCACTCCATCCACCCCCTCAGTCGCCTCTAATCCCCAACTAACACCCCATTCAAGAATACTACCATATATCTACAGACCCTCGGCATTAGAACGAGGGGATGCGGCCACAATACGCCAATCTCTGCGCTTCATGAAAATCAATGAAGAATCTCGTCTCCAATACGAAATACGAGATGAAGCCAGAATGCCAGACAATTGCTCCTCTCTGTCGTAGCAGGGCAATCCAATCGACTCGACCACCGTCTCTCTCTCCCTCTCCCTCTTGCGCTCTCTCTTCTCGGACTAGCAATAGCAGCGAAGAAAGAGATGGATCCAGTTGGATGTAGAAAGCGACTTACGGGCAGATGAGGAAGGACTGGAGGGCGACAAGTTGAGCAATGCGATTGGTGATGGAACGATGGAAGAGTGGAGCGATGGCGCTGCAACAAAGCATAAACGCTGATGGAAAATGCCAGAGCTTCACTGAGAGCGCCGGAACAAATTGTTCAACAGAAATGGCGCTGCCGGTGAAGATGGAGACAGGCCCTATCGCTGCGAGTGCGTCTCACCGTGGCATGGCCTACCCTACCACTACGGGCTCGACTTCTTTTACGGAGGGAGGTGGTAAAAGAAATAGAAAAAGCGAATAAGGTGTTAGAGTTAAAAAAGAAAAAAGAAAAAAAAGACTGACTAGAACGACTGGTTGTAGGGGTCTAGTGTGAAAGGGCCATTATGGATCAGGATCTTTATTTATCACGCAAGGCGGGCCATTTCATAGCAAGTCACAACCACTTGGTACCCAAGTTCGATTCGCAAGATATTATGAAAGCCCAAGAACAACTCTCACGTTCTTCAGAAATTTTGTGTGTTCCGGCAAGTGTGTAGAATCGGAAAGGAATTTGAGCTGTGACGATTACATCGAACACATTTTGCACGGAACAGACAATCAGATTCCGGCCGACGAGTAGTCATGGAGGCAGTCTCTGTGAACGTGAGGAACGCTGTTGCTGTGGTGGTAGCGTCCGTGATTGTTTACAGCGTGATCAAGTTTCTCAGGGATTCCGTATGGGAGCCGCTGCGATTGAGTCGCATCATGGCTAAGCAAGGCGTGAGCGGGCCCCCGTTTAGGTTCCTTCTCGGGCAGTACATGGAGATGGTGAAGTTTACTGAGTCGTTCCCTGACGTTATGCCAATTAACGATTTCGCGAATATGTCACCCACTGTCACGCCTCAGAACGCCTTGTACTATCTAAAATACGGTAGCAATTCATTGAAGTGGATGATTTTCAAGTTTTTAGCTCGTGCAAATGTGCGACTTGACAATATGCGATAATTCTGGTCAGTTTTTGCGGGGATGTGTGCTAAGATTAAATGCAAAATCGTGTCCAGGAAAAATGTATCTATACTGGTGGGGAACAATGACCCGATTGGCTGTGGGGGACCCGAAGTTTGTGAAGGAACTGCTGATAACAAATCACGATTCTTTGACCAGGTCGCGGATTGAAAACCAGTTTGTCGCAGAAGTGGTCGGCAAAGGATTGTTAAGCCAGGAAGGAGAGAAATGGACAAGTGAAAGGCGCACTCTCGGGCCATTTTTTCATCAAAAATCGCTCGAGGTATCAACTAACTCGTTTAGAGCTTTGAAGGATCTGCACACTGTTCAAATTCAGTGAAGTGGTAGCTCGATCGTACACGTAAGTTGGGACTAAGTAATATTAACACATGTCCATCGCGTGTAGGGCATGGTGGGGGCCATGGTGGAAGGAGCAGCCACAGAATTGCAGAAGTGGGAGCAGGAGGTAGAGAAACGAGGCGGCACGGCGGAACTTGACGTGGAGCCAGACCTTCAGAAGATTTCTAGAAGAATCATCTCCTGCACGGCTTTTGGTGACGATTTTGAAATAGGAGAGCAGATCTGCAAGCGTCAGATTCTTCATTCGAATGAACTTTGGAAGACTTTTCGCAGTGCAGCGTATTGGCTTGTCCCTAGTTACAGGTACCTATTTCGTCTTCCACCGTCGTCTTCTTCAAGTAAAAGCAGGGGTAATTTTTCAGTTATTCTACTAGTAATGCCATTGATTAGTACCACCCGGTAACGTTTGCGCAGAAATCTTCCTACAAAGGGGAACAGATCGATGAACCTATACGGTTCCCAGGTTGATGCCCTTGTTCGTGGACTTATTAACGCCCGGCGAGAAGCTGTTCAAAAGGGGGTAACAAGCTCTTACGGAGATGATCTTCTGGGGTGGATGCTCACGGTTGCAACTGAGGGATGGAGCGCCAACACGAAAGAGTCAACCAGTTGTCTGTTATTAACAACTGCAAGCTATTCTACTTCGCTGGTCAAGACACGGTTGCGAAGGCAATTGTCTTCACGGTACTAATGCTAGCATTGCATCCGGAATGGCAAGATCGTTGTCGCCAGGAGGTGACGGAGATCCTCGGCGATGAGCAAGATTGGCGTGCTTGCGATATTTCTCACCTCAATGTGGTATAATTTTCGCTCCTTCTCCATGGATTCTAGTCAAGGTTGGCGGTCAGAGATGTGTGTTGCGAGCCATTCCGAGATTTATGTTTCGATATGGCCTGCAGGTGGGAATGGTGTTAAACTAAAGCATGCGACTCTTTCCAACTGCTTTTCAACTTACGAGAGAGGTCGTCAAGGATTTGCAGTTGGAAGGTCTGTTCATTCCTAAAGGCATGCACATCGAGTTTTCTGTAATGGCAATGCATCAAGACAAAGACCTCTGGGGAGACGATGTTGGAAATGAGATTTGCAAATGGTGTGGCAAGCGCGTGTACTCATCCACAAGCGTTTAATCCTTTCGGACTAGGTCCAAAGTATTGCATCGGGAACAACTTTGCAGTGATGGAAGCAAAGATCGTCATAGCCATGATACTTCGACGGTTTCAGCTCGTGTATTCTCCGAATTACAGGCATCACCCAACCGTCACCATGCTGCAAGAGCCCAAGTTCGGCATGCCGATCATTCTCAAGGCTCTGAAAATCAACTGAAGGCTCTAGACCTGTGTGGCTCCATTCCAAAAAAATCATATATATATATATATATATATATATAACTTTTCAAAATAATTCTCTGTATATATACATATATATATATATATATATATATAGAGAAAATGGTTAATTTTGACATGTGATTTTAAAGAAAAATAAAAATTCAGCAAGAGATATCTACTTGTAAATTTTTTTGGCAATGAAAGAATATATTTATATATATATATATATATATATACTTTTTCATTGTAATTACAATAAAAGATATGTGTTATTGTAAACATGAATAATTCAAATAAAAATGATTTTCTTTTTAATTAACATTAGATGATGGCCAATGGAAGTAGCCCTTATTATCAAAAAAATAAAAAAAATAAAAAAGTTAAAAGATGACCAAGGTGGCAAGAGATTGCCCCTGACTGGCGGCAGCCTTCTCATCAATAGGGATCCGGCCGCCGGATCCCTCTCTCTCTCTCTTGTTATTTTCTTTTTGCATCGTCACAAGCTTTAAGCACTCATAAACATTTTTATTAGATTTCCTTCACGTGGTGGGAATACTGCGATGCAGTATTACCTTTTTGATGTTTTTTGCTCTCTCAGATTTGGATTACCAGGGTCCAGCAAAATGGTTGGAAGCATGGAATTTTTTTGACTGTGTGTGTGGTTACAAGGTGTACTCTCGGTTTCGTTGAGAATTAAGGATGGAAGTGGCTTCAATCCAGAGGCACTGGTAGTTTTGAAGCTTGGTTTTTTGTTCCAGTGATGAAGCTAACTTCTTTTTTCTCGGCTCTTTTTATCATTTCTTCTTGTCGCTGCAATGCCGTGACCTCATACCTTTTGTTGTTGTTGTTGTTGTTGTTTTTTTACTCTTGGTAGGTAGTTGGTCTTGTTTTCTACTCTACGGCTAAATTGTGGATGTTGGCAAGGATCTAGCAGACTCCTCTTCTATTGCTTTATATTGAGTAGAGTTCTAGATAGTGGAAGCAGCTAGCCAAACATTCTTTTGTTCCGTGGCAGTAGTTGGTTCTTGTTTGAGATTCGGCTATATTCCATCTTCTGCTTAAGTTTGTATGGTTTGATGATGTCGTTCTAGTGGTTTGGTACTACGTCAAGCGTTAGCATGGTTTTTTTTCTCATTCTCCATCTGCGGCTCAAAGAGGAAGGTGGTTCAAGGTGCATCGTCATGGTCGTCTTTAGCCAATACGATAGGCATACTAATTATGTTGGTGTTGTAAAGTTAGCATGTTGGAGTACATCGTGCTACAACGATGACTTAGGTTTTGAGACTACTAGCGAGATTTGTTTTGTTCATTATGGCTTGGTTATGCGATGCTGTCGTTAATATGATGTTGTCGTAGTAGTAGCTAGATAGCCTCTCCTTGTGTGGATGATGTCAGCATGATCGATCTCGGTGATTGTTCTTCTTATTCTCTAATCTAGTGTTGAATCTCGTGCAAG